TTCATCTCCAACCTGAAACAGGAAAATATCAAGTCAACACCAAGCCTCTCAATTTCTTGTAATGAATTTTCAAGATAAATAAATAAAGAAACTGTGTGCTGCCACCACTCAATTTATGATTTGCTACAAATATAAGAACACTTCTTTCCTATTGTTTTTACCCTATTTGAATAGTCTTTTCTTTGGCATGCAATCCCAAAACAAAATGCAAGCTTGACAAACCAACAAAATAATTCACTTACTGTGCATGTGCATGTATTTATTTATTTATTGGTACTACAGTAAATTCATTTAAAACACCAACATGATATGTGCTTTACACTAGAAACAGTGGCACCTTAAATGATGCTTAAAACTTCAGGCTCCATTTGTGGTGTAATCTCCTCCTTTGGTTAAAACAATGGCGCCTTACATGAATCACAAATCAAGATGACTCATGCATAGAAAAATATCAATTATGTTCTTGAGTAGGCATTCCCATGGAAACTGAAGGAAAGAGTCGAGGAGGGTAGGATATCACTAAATGGAGAAAAGGCTAGCAAACTTAACCATAATCTTGACTGTCTATGTCCATTTTATACTTCACTTCAAGTTTTCTACGTGGGCTAAAAATATATAGAAATAAACAATTTTTTTGAAACTCAATGATTCAGTTCAATTTTTTTATAGCATGAAATCACATTTGGCAAAAAAATAGGTGGAAACAAACAAAATACTCTAAAGAAAGAGAAAAACCATTTGGTTCCTTGTAAAATATACTGAACAAAACCAAAGGGTAGTTCAATTAGTTTCAACAACCACCTCCTGGAGCCTCGACACCTCTATTCAAGGTTGTTAACATCGGGATCTTAGATAGGATCGGTGAAAGGGTCTCGTGGATCGGAACGTAAGATCGGATTGAGGATTATAAGATCGTACTTTCTATTTAAAAAAGTTCAAAATATAAATTAGAATGATACATATTAAAAACAAGGTGAAAAATCACAAAATCTACAATCTTACTTACGATCCTACCTACAATCCTACATGATCCCATACGATCCTACTTGCGATCCTGTTATAACATCGATCCTACAACGATCTAAATCATCGTAGCAATGTAGTATCATAGGATTGTACGATCCTACGATCCAGATCACGATTTTAATAACCATGCCTCTACTATTGCATTGTCATTGTGAAGCAGTGTTGTTAATTCTGTTCTGTACAAGCCCGTACATACCATTATAGCAAGAAACAAATACAATAGGGAGACAGTTTCGTCCCGGCTAAATTCCGTTCTGTCTCAAAGTATATTGGGCACACTGGTCATTGTCACCCAATTATTGGCCATACCGGCTGTTAACTACCATTCATTAACTACTAATTTCAGTCAAAGTTACAGCATAAATAAAAATTGTATTAAATAAAACTAACACAATACACAATCATTGAAATTTAAAAAGGGCTCCCATCAAATTCAGAGTTTGTTGAATGTGCTATTATTTAGCATAAATTTCATTTTTACGCTTTGAATAATCAACTTTTGTCTGAGGTTCCATGTTGGAATAACCATAATTATAAACATCATTTTCTTTTTCCTCTTGCATTCATCTCTTCAATTACTACTTTTATTTCTTCTAGCCTAGCCTTCCTCTCTCAAGTATCACATCTTTGCTTGTTAAAATTCTCCATCAAATCACAAAAATGAAAGCTTGAATCATCTACTACCTTGCTCTTTCTACACAATTCATTTTCAGTCTTTATTCCATTAGGTCTTTTAGTTCTTGGCAAAGTAACACCAGCTTAAATTGGATCTTGATTGGAGCCCAGACAAATAGATGTGTCAAAATGAGAAGGGGAAAATAGGGAGGGATCATTGCATGAGTCATTCACCTTTTGAAATCTTACCACTTTATATTGTTAATAATTTAAAAAATAATTTTGGTGAAGATTTCAATTGTTATTAAATAAACTAGTAAACATATGTGACGAATTCAAGAGAGGGACGAGGATTTAGATTTCTTTGTTGTTATATAAATAAAGGCATAATAAATTAGTGATAAATTAAACTACAATTATAATGGTTTAGATGTAATTTTTATTAAAAAAATCCAATGGTCAAAGGTGTAATATAAAATAGCATTGTGCTATTTTAGAACAACATATACTACATCGCTAGAGTAAGTGTTTTATGTTGTGATGCGTTATTTTAGCACTGCTACATCTAAATAATACACCAATATAATTGCTTCAACACTAATCCCTATGAATCTACATTATTTTTCTTTTGTTAGTCTCCTAAATTATTTTGTTAAAACTTGCAGTTAGTTTCATGGGTGTCTAAACGATGGACATGCGTCCTTCAAGTGTTCGAAGCGTGTCTAGGTCTAAAAATGAAACTAATAATAATATGAGTGTCAACACATGTCAAAAAGTGTCTGATGGATGCCAATGTTCGACACAGACATGCTATCTTAGAAGCATCAGTGCTGCTTAGCCGATGAAGAATACAATATGAATAAAGATGACTTCAAAATTGAAAAAAAAATATATATATATATATATAGAGAGAGAGACAGAGAGAGAGAGACCAACACTTATCTTCAAATCATCATCTCCCCCTTGTTCAGTGTTATCCCAAACATCTCTAATAGACAGAACTAGATGAGTGGAAACTGAGAGGGGAGAGGTCCTCTCTTGCATGCATGAAAATTGGTGATAGCAACTGGAAACTCAAGACACAGAGATCCTAATAAAAGTCAATTATGCCCAGTTGATTTGATTTATTTTACGAGGACTTGGATTGGTGAATCTTGTTTTGTTAAATATATTTGAATTGTAAAGGTGCAGTTGCAATTACAGTTACAATTTAAACATAAAAGTTGTAAATTAAAAAAACGATATATTATGCAAAATTTATTTTTATAAACAAACATAAATATTTTATAATATATTATATTTATTACCTTGAGGTTATGGGTTCAAGTCTCAAGGTAGCCACTTTGTGCACTATGCCAAAGGTTAGGTGTGTACCCAATCTTTCCCCTCCCAAACACACATTAATGTGTACTATTTGGGCGTTGTTGTTGTTGTTGTTGTTGTATATTATATTTATTACGATAAATTTGAAATGGGAAGCTGGTACACACTAGTACCAATACATACTATACCATACCAATTATTAAAACAGTAAACTCTGGCATGGGATTGACAACTTTGTTGTGAATACAAACTGCGCATCTTTCATTCACTAGTTATTCCACCTTCAAGAGAAATTAAGAAAAATCTAATCATTTAAATCAATAAAATCAACCTAATAATTCTCATGGTTTACAAGTTGAACAGTAACCACCAATTGTAGAAGATCTCACTAAAGATGATACGTTAGTCTGACATTTACACATGTCCATGCTGAAGATGAATTCTAGCTCAAACCGTGGCTAGTACAAGACTGCATGGTAGCAAGAAATTCTATTCATGGGAATCTTGTTTGGAGCAATATTGTTCTATTTTCGTTTTCCAAGACTTGAGGGTTGTTTTAAGAAAAACTTTGGATAATACAAAATATGCAGCACAGGTACGAGTACGAGTATTGGTACTGGAACAATACGGGTACGTCAATACGATAAAATCTAAAAAAAAGCAAAGTACAGGCACGGCTTGATACGTTTGTAAAAAAATATTTATTTTTAATTTGGAGTAATACAAAAATTGATTAAATGGTTTAATATGTTAAGATCTAACCTAAAATTAACATTTAATGCCAAAAGTAAAGATACAAACCAAAATTAAATGTCATTATATTAAATAAATTACAAACCATAGCTTAATTTTAAATCATGCCAAGCATAAAACCAAAAATAAAAAAGAAGTCTAGTGAAAGGAATCTTATCTCTGTAGTATAAGAAAATATTATTTCAACTAAGGTACAGTACGACTTAGATATTAAGTACGTCTAGGTATGCCAAAAATTAAGAAGAAAAAATTTAGAGAAGTGTTTCATGTACCCGATACGTATGTAAAAGAACCATACGAAGTACCATACGCCAATAAGTATCCGATACGGGCACGGCATGTTTATCGAAATAGCCATGCTTCATAAGCTAGACTTTTGTGGCTTCACTTAAGGAAGATGATATGCTACTTGACATCTATGAAGCACCAACACTTCAAAACATGTGTCGTGGTGTCAGACACAATGGAGACATGTATGAGACACGCCACATGGTGTGTTCCTCTATTTAATTTAATTAAAAATTTTTTTTTTTCAGGTGACACGCCGAGGACACGATGGAGACAAGCCAACTAGTTTTTTTTTAATCCCTATTCGTGCTTTTGGATGGACGTTGAATGTCGTTAACTTTTTGCTTAAATTTAAATAATTAAAATGGGGTATTTTTAATTATATTAAATTAGTATTAGTTTTTGTTAATTTTGATTATTTGTAGATGTAATATTTTAATTTATATAGCAAATAAAAATATATATATATATTTTTTTATTACCATGTCGCCGCCATGCTATGAAGAACGGACACCTCTTCGAAAACAACGCATGGGTGTCCGGCACATGTCAGACACCGACACGCATCAAACACGTGGTGGACATGTGTCCAATACTCAATGAGAGGTGCTCCCTTTTTTTTTTGAATTTTTTGCAGTCGGACATGCTTGGACATGTTCGGGACACAATTCTGAACAAAACCTAAACATGTTGGTTGACAAAGAGAGAGAGAAGAGAAAGAAGGTGAAAAAAAACCTGAACATGCTGAAGCTCAAGAGGGTGAAAAACTAGTTGAAGCCCTAGATCAAGGTATGTCCTCCTTCGTTCTTCTTCTTTCATCACTTCGAAGATTGTCTCTCTGTGTGCTTTTCGTCTCTTTCTATCTCTCGTAAGTCGTCTATCTATCTCTCGCAAATCGTCTCTCTCTCTCTCTCTCTCTCTCTCTCTGTTTTTGTCGTCTCCTCTCTGCTTTTCCCTCTGTTTTTCATCTCTCACTGATCCTTTCCCTCTTTTTTTTTGTATCTCTCTTGCTGCAAATCGTCTCTCTCTCTCTCTCTCTCTCTCTCTCTCTCTCTCTGTTTTCGTCGTCTCCTCCTCTCTGCTTTTCCCTCTGTTTTTCATCTCTCACTGATCCTTTCCCTCTTTTTTTTTGTATCTCTCTTGCTTTTTATTTATTTTTTTCTTTTTCTTCTCAAATTGAAAATACTTTTTTTTATAACAAAAACCCTACTTTTTTTTATTTATACCTAAGACCCTCTTTTTATTTTTTCTATTTTTTATTTTTAATTTTAGACATAATAAATAAATAAAATCATATATATTAAATGTGTCCCCAACGTGTCGTGTCTCTCCTTTTTTGAAAATTTGTGTGTCCGCGTGTTCGTATGGTGTCCCGTGTCCATACTTCATAGCCGCCATGTCTGTGTCCATGTTCGTGTTTGTTCTTCTTAGCTATAGGCATTGTCAATTGTGGAAAATCTTTTCTTTAATCCACTTTTCTCTATCATGGAATCCACTTCCATCTCACTTTTTATTTTGTCTCTAACATTCTCCGTTCTCTCCTCATTACTCCCAACAGCAACTAGATAGAAAATTGTTTCAATTGACCAATCATTAAATGCAATTTTTGTTTCTCTACAAGGTTGCCTACATTTTCTGTCAAAAAGCATCCTTCATTAAATACTTTGCCAGTAGAAGATTAAGAGAAAATGCCTCCTTTAGAAGAATAACAAGGAAAGAAAAACAGAGCATAGGTGGCACTCCTTGTGTTATCATTGATTAAGCTGGAATAAAAAGCATCTAAACAATGGCCACAGTTGGCAGCTACAAACTGTAATTGAGCATCACCAGTCCATTCATGTTAGTGATCAGCTTTCTGCTATCTACTAAAGGCTTTAATGAGTTTTCCCCAAACCCTCTCTATGCTTGAAAGAGTTAAAGCAAACACTATATCTTCAACTGTAGCATAGTCCATGACTGCAGAGCTATTATTACAATTGCAAAATTCCTTGACTTAGACATCTACTTCACTATGTCGCACTAAATCCTCTTTGTAGTGATAGGTGAAATACTATCGTTAAGTCAACACCAAAATACATGAAATGAATAGAAAAAACTGAGATTTAAAAGTCCAGCATCAACTTGTCAAGATGATCCAACTACTCACTTTTTATAGCCATTATGATGATTTCTCTTTCCTACTTGAAAGACAAATTTATCATTGCTGGGTTGAAGTTAGGAGAGTTAAACACGGTTGTATATTATACTGCACATAATAATGGTATTTCCAGAATTCTACGGTTGTAACAATGATATTTTGGTATTTTTGGGTAATCAAATAAGATTATAGAGTATTTCATCTTTTCAATCTTTAAACTGAATTGGAGTGGGTATGAAAAAATATTTGGGCAGCAGTAGTGCTACCGAACAAAAGCTCATTGTTGCTTGTAGGTAGAACATAAAACAACAAGAAAACCAATTTTGTACCCCCAATCGGGAATTGAACATTGGGGGTGGCAAGCGATAGATGGTACTCCAAGCCTAGTTAGCGATAACACAATATCATAAGAATTAATCGTCAACAAAAAAAATTATACTCAATGCAAAGGCTTTTGTTTATAGAAAAGTTTGGGAAATTAGAAGAGGTACGCAATCTTAGCCCTAATCGTGGAGATAACAACTTTTGAACTAATGTAATCGTTACAAGTTCTCAAGTTTAGATGAGAATGAATTTGTTCAACTGTTTTCTTGTTGTATCCAATAATTTGCTCAAAAAACTTTAACTTGGAACTAATCTCATGATGCCATGATGTTTACAAAATCCCAGCTCATCTCAATGACTTTAAAATGAGCCTAGGGATATACATGTGGGACTTTAAGGATACACACAGGGGACTGGGGAGAGCTAATTTGACATGGGAGAAAAATAAGGAACGTAGAAGTGATATTAGGACTTCAGACAAGAAACTAAGGAATTTGGATTGCTCATTACAGAATTTGTAGCACAATTTCTATTTACTGAGCCAGAGTATATACATCCTTCTTGCAAGGGATTGGGCTTCCAAGCAGTGTTGGGTTTCAAAGTGTTTTGTTACCAATAAAAAAATTATGTAAGCCAATGGGTAAAGAAAATCAAAGCACTGACAATTATATAACAAAATTCACCAATTGCCAGTAGGCAATTAAGTAAAAGAAAAACACATACCCAAAGAGATGCCCATCCAAGTCGCACCTCTGAATCATAACCGACTTTGAATTTGTAGTCCTTGCCAACCGTGTGCTTGTATACCGTACTCCAGTAGTTTGAATCAAAATTGTACCAATAGCTGGCCAAACAATAATCAAAGTAAGATTAAGCACCTCTGTGGTCATATAGCATGTGTGTTACGAATTTCTTAACAAAAAATAACTTGTTCATCTTCCTGTCCACTGGCAACTATACATTCCTTCTAAGAAAATTTTTCCAGCGGGCTAACTTCTACTATTGGAGATTTGTTACTATCAAAGTTGTCATGGCAATGGCATAAAATGCATACGATTCTAATTTTACTTTCTTAATGTCTGAGCATTTGAATTACTTCCTATTAAGTCTATAAAATACATGTATTTAGACAATAATATGACGAACGAGGCAAGCACAATAGAATTAATGCCTCCTCTATAGATATATAGGAGAGACATGCATCCTAAAAGATATGGATGACAAAGAGACAGGTATGCAGTGCGGCCCCTGTGATAAGTTTGCATTTTGAATGCCCATCCCTGAAGCTGTGCACCCCTACAATCCTTCCCCACAACACACTAAAGTAAGATAAAGAAAGACTAAAATCTGTGAGAAAATGTCAGCCGCTTGCCTACAAGAGATAGGAATGTGACAAAGAAGATGATGATAAAACAATATTAGAGAGAGAGAGAGAGAGAGGGAAAAGCTATCAGAGTGATTGTTAATATATATATATATATATTTTATGAATAGGAAAGTACTAGTATATATGGTTATAATTTCAACTGTCTTACAATCTTAGCAACTCCAGCCAAGTGGTTTGCGCCAGATGTAACAAGTTAATGGTGGTGTAGAGGATAGTTTCTCACGTAGAGGAAGCTGATGGCACATGTAAAAGGAGAGGACTAAACAATATAAGGTGAAGACTAAAACTCTAGGCTTAAATATGTAAAAAGGAGTAACCAGGGCATGAGCAAGATAAAGGGTATATTTTATCCATACTGAATATGATCAGAGTGGTGCAGGGACCTGTCTTCCCTGCTAAGAGATAATAATTCACCATTTGGACAACATATGATATTCTCACCAAATATGCACACAAATTGAAAACATAAGCTAGAAAACTTAACAGTGCCAGCAATTTAAGCTTCTAGTGCTGTAGTAAATACAACTTGATGGATATGAATTTGGACATCTTTCAACACAATACAGTTATATACAGCTCCTAGTTTCTATAACCCATTGTGCAAGACAGCAGTATCTATACAATCCATATGGTACACAGCTCATGACACTTACATCAAAAGTTCCACATTCTTTTCTTTGTTGCAGCTTATTAAAGGTAATGAATAGTCAAGATTGTCAGATTACATCAAACTCAGAAGAACCCAAGGACTGTGTTCTTGACATTTTCCCCCCTTTTCACAAAAGAGGTTCTTGGAGCAGAACCAAATGTAGAAGTTTAATAAGCAGTTCCCGGAAGCAAAACATGCTTAGTTTTTGTAATTCATATTGTCTTGGCATGACCATAGCACACCATTCAAGTGCCAACTTTCCATCAAATTAAGATTCAACAGCATACTGAATATATATGATCTAAGCAGGTTAATAAGAGAGAGACAAGAGACAGAGAGATCACCTCAGCTTGTCTGAAGGACCAAATCGACGCTTGAATGCAAATGATAATGCATTTGAAGGCAATGACAAGTTTGGAATGAAGGCCATTTGCTCGTCCTGCAGGAAATTTTAAAACTCCCAACTTCATTTATTACCAAAAAATGAAATGCCCAGAAATGGGAATCTCAGTACCCGGTGTTTTATAGGAAGGTGATCACCCTGGGCCATAATTTGCAAAATTAGAAATTCTAAACCATCCAATAAGCTATATATAGTTAGATCAACCCTTGTGCCCGCATTGCAAGCCACATTATCTTCACCAGCGTTAGTAACAAGTGTCATTATTGTGGGGTGAAACCTGAACCAACGAGAATTTGCCACGTTAATTCTCCCTCGTGATGAAGCCTACAAACTGAGGCCCCTGTTCATGGTACAAGCCAATGCATACAAGAGTCAATCTCCAAGGAGCCTCCTTGGAGCACTCAGTACCCCCTACTAGAATGAACTCCCATCCAACCTCACCCATCTCCTTTCATGTCAAAAACATGCTCAAGCCTCTCTTGGCCTGCTTGGCTCAACCATTCCTCTCTTATGACCTACATTTTACACTACTTCTCCAAAGGCACTCTAAACTCCTACACTAACCTAGGTCTAGAGCTGGATTTCAAAACCACTCTCAGGATTGGTGATATGGTTATGGGGAGCCCGAGCAATCCTATGAACCTTGTGTAGAATGACAAGATCTTGTGACTTGGTGGCTAGATTTGATGGTTTGTCCCATTCTCTCTCCAATTAACTCCCAGCTGGTTGACTTCCAGGGCCCAACCTCCGACAAAAAAGGGGTTTTGCTTTTGTTGCCTCTCTCTCTCTCTCTCCCCCCCCCCCCCCAAAAAAAAAAAAAAAAAACACAAAGAAACCCAAAACCTAAAATGAATAAACAAATTAACACAAGTCAAGTTTTCTCACTCAAACTGCTTTAGTATGAACAAAGTTATGAGAATTGCGGTTCTTGGGTGGTGTCTTGACGTTGTGGTTTCCTTCCCTTTCAATGGAAACCTGTCTTGACGTGGTTTCCAGCTTCCTATTCCTAGGTCTAGGAAAATGCAAACTCGCTCCATGTTTGGTCTCAAGCAAATCAAAATAGCAAGGTCTATTATGACCCTTAACCTCATTACG